CCCCGCTAGAGGTGCCGCCTCCCGCACCGCCCTGTGCGGGGCCCCCGCTGCCCAATAAACCAGCCTTGGCCCCCTCCAGCCGACTCTGGTCCACCGCGTCCGCCCTCATCACTATCGTCCGCCTGGCTCTAGACCTGCTGGCCAGGGCAGCTCTGCACTTCTGTTGCCCGTTTCATCCCGTGAGAATTTTCTACCGAAGGGCTCTTGGCTGTCTCTCTGCACTGACCTCTGGATCCGTGACCTTAGCCCACAGCTCCTGCCTTCTCCAGTCCAGCCCACAGGGCTGCTTCTGGTCTCCAGCTTTCTACTGTCTATCTCTGGGGCTATGGGCAAATCCTTTGGTGCATTTCCGTAACAGGTGGATAGACCCCAGGCATCACCCCCTCCCATCTGCCAGTGTCTTCTTCAGTGCTCCTGAAGGGAGCGCCCTGGCCCCCAAGTCCTGGACTCGCTCTGTCATTGGCCCAGCCAGAAGGCCTGGCTGCGCAGTCAGCTCTTGCAGGGATGGTAGTGGAAGATTTTATAGATACTAAATGATAAGAGAGTATTATGAGCCCCACTAAATCCATGCTTTGGCCAACACAGATGAAGTAGACAAACTCTTTAAAAGACACAAAGCACCGAAGGCCACACAGGAAAAAGTATTTAATTTGAATACCTGTATAGTTATTAAATATAAGGATTTATTTTACTTTCTCAAAAAGAAACTCCAGGTCCACACTTCACTAGTGAAGTCTACCGAACTTTTAATGGTGTAATAGCATCAATTCTATACATATTCTTACAGAAGAAGAGAGAGGAAGACCTCTGTCATTCTAGGAGGGCAGTATTACCTGGCACCAAAACCAGACTCAAATGACACAGAGAAGTTACAGACCTCCCACCCGCAGAAGCACAGATACAAATGTTACTGACAGAGCTTTTCAAGTTGAAACCCACAATAGATGAAAAGGATAGCAGCTAATACATTCTTGCCAAAGGACCCCTCCTCCAGAGGGCGAGGCTAGTTCAGCATTCAAAAAGCAGTCCATATAACTACTATATTAACAGACTAAGAAAGTCATGTGATTATCACAATAAAAACTACATTTTTTAAATCTATACCTGTTTCCCCCCAAATCCCAGCAAACTAAGTGTCACTGGGAACACCCTCTACCAAGGCCTAACAGTATGCTCAATAGGAAAATACGGGATGCTTTCGGCCCAAGTTCAGGAGCAAGGTAAGGGAGTCTGCTCGCCTCACATCTGCAAGATTTTGTACTGGAAGTTTTGTACAATGAACTAAATCAAGAAAGAAAAATGATCACCCTAACACCGTTGACAAATCTACCACATTCCTGAGTGGGGGATGATGTCAGTGAAAAAGCAAAACATCAGGCTGACCAAACCAGGTCTATCCTGACCCAATGATCAGTCTAACATTTGAGAATCTTACTTAGAATCTCATGCTGATTTTTTTTCTGAAGTCAAATTGAATACTTTGAATAACAGATTTCTAGTTACAGCTTCATCACTGTAATGATTCAGCCTTTTTTAAAGACTTATCTACTTATGCCTATAAGAACTGGGGTACAGGCCAGAGGTACAGGGTATGAGAGGATTCACCAGAGACAGAGTGGGCGTGGGGGCAGAACAGGCAGAGACAGAGTGGGCGTGGGGGCAGAACAGGCAGAGTTACTGAAACCCACTGCTGAGGGGAGAAGGGAGACAGGAGGGGTCTGCCATGCCATGTGGGTCACTCCCTGGCCGGGATTGCGCTCAGGCTTAATAGGGCTGAGACTTGACCCCTGCACCACCAGGGAGGCCTCCTGATGAGATTTTTTTTCTTTTTTTAAAGATTTATTTATTTATTCGTACAGAACTGGTGTACAGGCCAGAGATGTGGAAGGTGAGAGGATTCACCAGAGACAGAGTGGGGAGCAGAACAGGCAGATCGACGGAAGTACACTGCTGAGGGGAGCAGCGGGCGGGTCAGGAGAGGTCTGCCGCGCCATGTGGTCACTTCCGGGGCAGGCGGGGATCGAACTCATGCGGAAGTGGCTTAAGCTTCTTTGTGCTGTGCTTTAACCTGCTGCGGTACCAGGGAGGGCCCTTTTTTTCTTTTTTAAGTAACAGAATGATTAAAAAAATTAACAGTTGTTTTTAAGTGCACAAAATTGCCAGGTATTTGAAAAATAAAATTTGCTCTGGGGATGTCATAACATACCCAAATCATAAACAATTTAAACTGTGTGGTATTGACCAAGGTAACAATGGAAGAAATGTGTTTCTAGGTGCTTAGAATATGATAACGGTATATTATTGATTGTGTGAGAAAATGTGTTAGGATTAACTGATTGTTTAGGGGGGAAAAGCTTGATTCTTTGATTCCAGTTTACAACATTCAAATGCACACAAAAAATCTAGGTGAATTTGGCATAAAATGGTAAATGCTTTAAAAAAGAATGTTTTTAACCTTGGGGGTAGGACAGACTTCTTAACTAAGATGCAACATTCACATGTTTAAATTTCTATACTACAAAGTCACAAAGATGAAGACAAACAAGAAGCGGGGATTTGCAGAGGACTCCAGGGGACCCCTGGAAGGCACTCCTTCCTGCCAGTGGGTAGACAGTGAAACTGAAAGGTGGAAAAAGAATATGAAGAAGTGTAAGCAGTGACATAAATAGCTCAATTTCATTAGTAATCAAGGAGCTATTATTTTCTCCCCATAAATTGGCAAAGAAAAATTGAAAGTGACTATTAAATGCTGAAGTGCATGAAGGAAACCCGTGTTTTCACTGATGAGAGGGCAATTTGGAAATATGTAGTTAAAATGCACACACCTTTGCTTCAGCAATCCTATTTCTCCATTACAGAGAAATCTATCACATGTAGGCAGATGTAAAGCATGGGGGGGTGTTCTGCATTTTTATAAAAGTTTTTTTTTTTATTAATACAGAAGTGGGGTACAGGCCAGAGGTGCAGGGGGTGAGAGGATTCACCAGAGACAGAGTGGGGAGCAGGATAGACTGATCGGAAGTACACTGCGGAGGGGAGCAGCGGGCGGGTCAGGAGAGGTCTGCCATGCCCTGTGGGCACCCCCAGGCGGGTTCAAACACGAAAGGAAGTGGCTGCAGCCAGCGTCTAGTGCTGTATCCCAACCTGTTGCGCCACCTGGAAATTACCTCCATTTATGAAAATACAGCATGTTCCTATAGCAAACTCTTTCCGGAACTAGGAGGAGGCAGATCTAGATTAACCGAGTAGCTTGGAGACGTGTTAGTGGGAACGTGAGTGGGATGTCAGGGTTCAGACGTAGAGAGCGCAGTTCTTCCAAAAATCTCAGCCCACAAACGGCAGGGGAGCCGGTCTGATGGGCAAGGAAGGGGTGAAGGGCGGCACTGTGCAGCGCAAGTCCGATCCCCCCCCCCCCCCGCAGAGAGCTGACCCCCAGGGCGCAGCAGACCCTCCTGGCTCCCCGCTGCCCCCCTCAGCAGTGGAGTCGGTCAGTCGGCCTGTTCTGCTCCCCACTGTCTCTGGTGAGTCCGCTCACACCCCCACCTCTGGCCTGTACCCCAGTTCTCGTATGCATAAACTAATCCTTTTTTAAAATGGGGGTGCTAGCAGTCCAGCGGACCTGTGCGAGCGCCGCTAGGCGACAAGGCTCCGGCCGGCGGGGCGTGTCGTGTCGGCCGTCGAGTCCCCTTTACACTTGCAGCGTCCCCTCGATGGCTAGAGACGCCTCCGCAGAAAAAGGCCAGACTGAGAGAGACACAAAACGGCCATCCGCCGACCCCCAGACGTTTCGCAGACATCCAGGGTTGGGGGGGGCAAAGGTGCCTCTGAAATGGACGAAGACATAAGCTACCTCCCGGGTTGGAAACGCCCAGGAGGGACCTCTGACATCCACACCGCGCGGCGCCGGGGCTGGCTGGCCCGGGGAAACTTGCTACAGAAGGGCGCTGAGGGGCCACGCCCGGGCGGCGGCCGCGAAGCCGACCGCGAAAGCCCAGCGCCCCGCGCGCCAGCAGGAGCTCCCCGAGGCGCGCCTGGCGGGCGAGCGCCCCCTGTCTTTGAAACGGCCAACGGCATCGCGGGCGTTTCCGCCCATGGGCATGCGCAGCCGTCACGGCCACGCTCCTCGCGCAGGGCGAGGGAGGCCCGTCAGCCAACCAGAGAACCGCGCGGCTCTCCTCCCTCCCGCCCGCCGGGCTGGGGGGCGTGGCGCAGCGCTAGCCAATGAGAAGGCGTTTCGCCCACGGCCGCGCGCGGAGCGCGAGGGGGTGGGGCCGGGAGTGCAGGCCGGGGCAAGATGGCGGCGAGCGGCCTGCGGCAGGCTGCGGCCGCGGCTCGCACCTCGGTGAAGCCCATTTTCAGTCGGGACATGAACGAGGCCAAGCGGAGGGTGCGCGAGCTCTACCGCGCCTGGTATCGCGAGGTGCCGACCACTGGTGAGGGGCAGCGGCGCGCGCGGGCCGCGGGCGGCCGCCCAAGGTCGCAGCCGTCCGGGCCTCCCACTTGTGGGCGGAGCTGAGGTCCCAGCCTGGGCAGAGGGGACTCGGTGGCCGCGGGAGGGCCCCTGGCCTCGGTGACCCCGACGGGGCGGCGCCGGCGGGTCGGACAGCTTTGTGCCGCGCCCGCACCGCGCTTGTAGGCACCGCGCGTGCCCGTTCGCCCCCCGCGCGAGCCTGGGAGGGAGAGCAGGGGCGCCCGCGTGCCGGGCGGCGGTGGGTTTGTAAGAGCCGTTTATTGGTGCAAATTCCAGAGCCGGGCCCGGGCCAGCGCGCGGGGCGGAGAGGACTCGCCTGAGACGAGCGGGAGCAGAGCCGGCGGGTCCACCGAGACACGCTGCTGAGGGCAGCGGCGGGGACAGGGGGTCACTCCCAGGCTGGGGGTCGCGTTCATGCCCAGCGACTGCCCGGGCACAGTGCTGAGACTCGACCCCTGCGCCCCGCCCGGAGGCCCCTGAGCCAGGCCGAACCTGCGTTCCTCAGTGTACCCGCAGGGGCCGACAGGCCCGCGCACGAAGTGGCTTGGGCTTGGGTGGTCACGGGGGCCCGCATTGCTCACAGCACACACTGCCCAGGTGGCAGGCCAGGGTGCTTTATCCAGTTGTTTCACGCGGGACGGCTCGGCTCGCGGCCCCTCCACTCTCCAGGCCGCATTCCGGCTCTACCTGCCGGTATTCCTTAGGGGCCCCCCCCCCTGCCTGCCAGGGAAGGCCGGACGCCCATTCCCTCTCTGAGATGTCAGAGGCCAGAGCTAGAGGAGAATTTCAGCCCCTCAGGCAGAGTCTGCTGTGTCTTTTCTTGGCCGCCCTCAGCGCTGCCCAGTGTTGTGGATGAGAGTTGGGGGAGCCCATCCCAACTGCCCGGGCCCTGCAGGTGTCAGAAACTGCCAGTATTTGGCTGGATTTCGCGAGTTCTGAGCCTGCGGGCCGGGAAGGGCTCCGAAGGGGGCGGGAGCACCACAGCCGCCTTCAGCAGGCCACTTCCTTCCCTGTGTGAGAAGCGGCGATGTGATGGCTCCGTGGATGCTCCAGACCCTGCTTGCAAGCTGGGTGGCCTTGAGCAAGTTATTTCATCTGGCCGTGCCTCAGTTTCCTCGTCTGTAAAATGAGGATGATATTAGTGCCTTCTTCAGAGGTCTCTGAACAGAACTCCAGGTCTGGCCCCGGTACTCATGAAGAACAGTTCACCAGGTGGAAGTGTAGGCTGTACCTATTCGCCTCCCTCAGCCTTTCTTGCTCTCCCCAGATGAAATGTAAGCGCTGGGAGCAGGCGCCACATCCCGCGCTCTTTCACGGTCGCCGGGACCCAGAGGAGGTGAAAGGGATGATCGGGCAGCCTGCGTGTTCAAGGAATATCTGTATTAAAAAAACATGTTTTATGTCATTTCCACCTGCATCGTGTTTCCTCTTTAGTGCACCTGTTCCAGCTAGATATCACCGTGAAGCAGGGCCGGGATAAGGTCCGGGAAATGTTTATGAAGAACGCCCACGTCACTGACCCCAGGGTGGTGGACCTTCTGGTCATTAAGGTAACTAACTGACCTGACTGACTTCGAAAGCAGCAACTTGTACAGAGCTTCTCACTCCCCGGGTGAACGTTCATTTCCCAAGTTTAAAGAGTAGTTGCCAGGGCCCTTCCTGCTGGCACAGCGGGTTAAAGCACAGCACTGAGAAGCTAAAGCCGCTTCCACATGAGTTCAGTCCCCGCCTGCCCGGGAGGTGACCACGTGGTGTGGCAGACCTCTCCTGGCCCACCCGCTGCTCCCCTCAGCAGTGGACTTCGTCGATCTGCCTGTTCTGCTCCCCACTCTGTCTCTGGTGAAGCCTCTCACCCCCTGCACCTCTAGCTTATACCCCAGTTTTATATGCATAAATAAATAAATCTTTTAAAAAAAAAAGTTGCCGCATCAGCAACTATACTTTGGTGCAAGGGTATCACCTGGTTAAAGGGGGAAACGCCCTCAGGCCTGCATTTTGCATTTTCAAACCAGAGAGACATGGAGGAGAGTGGAACTCTTGCAGCCCTACCCCTGAAGTTACTGTTCACCTGAGCTGGCAGCTGGCCAAGTCCTGTGTGAATGGGCTCAGCTCCTGGGCCTGATGTGGTCTCTGGTCAGCCACATTAGTATCCCTGGGAAGCTCACCCTGGCGTCCCTGGGGCCTGCTGACCACGAGGCTCCTGTCCGAACTAGGAAGCCACAGAGTTAGAGAATATTGGGAAGGCCTCAGGTACCGTGTAGTCCGGCTGTCTCATTCTCCAGAGGAAACCCCGGCCTACACAGCAGTCCACCAGCAGGGTGACTGCTGAGCGCCGCATTCCTGCCTCCGCGTGCTGACTGGACCTCCCCTCTCTGTGCAGGGAAAGATGGAGCTAGAGGAGACAATCAAGGTGTGGAAGCAGCGGACGCACGTCATGCGGTTCTTCCATGAAACAGAAGCGCCAAGGCCCCGGGATTTCCTGTCCAAGTTCTATGTTGGCCATGACCCGTGAAGTCGCTCAGCGGAAAGGTGCATGTTGGTTTTGCGATTTACAGGACAATAAACTCACCTCGTGGTAGAACGCTGTGGGTGGGCCAGTGGGAAGCTCTCCTTTGTCGCCTCACTTTTTGCCTGCACAAGCGTGGCCTTAGTGCACACACCACCTGTTCTTTCCCTTTTCCTGAAGTGCGGTGTTTCCTGTAAATTAGATTCTTTCTCAGAGCCTCCATGTCGGTAAACAGGAAAGATGGGGCCATCTGCTCAGAAACTGCCACACTGGGGATGAGGCTGGATGACTTCGTTAATTTAGCTGCGTTTCTACAGCCTCCGGAATTGGATAGCTTGGGGTGACGGCACAGACGATCCAAAATTAGCAAGCTCTTGCTGAGAGGGGCTCAGAGCAACACTAGAGGCCCAGAAGTAAAGCTGACAGGCTGGGCTGCTTTTCCCTGGGCTCCGAGAAAATGGCAGCTCCGAGGCCTCACCCCTCCGGAACAGCGGCCCTGAGAGGCGGCTCAGTTTGTGCTCGGTGAGGCTCCTTGCTCAGGGACCCAGCTGCACAGAGGTCACAGAGAACGGAAATACTCCCACTGTTTTTGCAGACTGGGGCATAGTTCCAGGTCAGGAGAACGTGCCGACAGTTTAAGTAACATGTTTACTCGGATGGTGGTCTTCGCTTTTCCTTCCTGGGCAGTCTCCATGCTGGAGAGTGGGGTTTTCACTCTCTGAGATACGACCAGCCTTAGGAATTCCCAATTTGGCTTCCCTTAGTGTTTGCTTTTCCTCTCCTGGGGAGTAGGCCCAGGCAGCTTCGCCCACCGGTGTGCCCACGCACCATCTCCACAGTCTCTTGTGCTCCTCCGCCCTCTGGAGCCCTCCCCTCCGCCCCGCCCCGTGATAGCTGTGTTATTTTTGTTTTTCCCTCGATCCCCTACATAACTCCTTTAAGTGAAACCATCTGGTGTTTTTCTTTTTCTTTCTGACTTAATTCACTGAGCAGATTCGCTTCAAGCTTACATTTATTCGTAATTTGCTTGTGTTGCTGCAAATGGTACTAGTTTTTCTTTTTCGATCACTGAATAGTATTCCATTGTGTATATGTAACACATCTTTTTGATCCAGTTGTCTATTTATGGACATTCGGGTTGAGGAATCTCAAATTTTTCAGCACTAGCAATTCCATCGTTATCTTTTTATCCAAAGAACCCAAGTTAATCATTCTATAACTGACATTTCTTGGAGTTTTAAACTAGCAAAGCTCATGACTGGCCTGTGCTAACTAGCCGGTGTTACTCAAGGCAGAGCGTGAGGCTTGCCTACAAAGCTTTACTGGGGAAAGCAGTTTCTGCTGGGCTTACTATAATGAAAACAGGCCGCAGTCTCCTGTGATCGTGCTCGTGCACCCACGGGGGCCCGAAGGCCCGGACTGTAAGTCAGGCTGCTGTGTGCAGCTGATGACGGGCGAGAGCATCGAAGGCGCCCACCTGGACGAAGAGGCTGGAGCCACCACTCAGACAAACAGCTGACTTGCATTTATTCATGATTTGCTTGTCTTGAGTAAGCGGCACATCGCGGGGACCCTCCCAGAGCTTGAAAACCGGGGCAGCAGTCATAGACCACAGGGGCCCCCGGAACTGGCAGGCCAAGAGCTTCCCGGCCCATCTGCTGGCAAGGAAGGAAAGCAGCTGCGAACATCGCCAGTTCTGTCATGAGGGGGCTCTCTCCGTGTGCACTTCTGGCGCCCTGCGGGGAAGGAAGGCGCTGGTGAGGCAGGCAGCTGCGGCCCAGGTGCGCGTCCTAAGGGGGTTGCAGAGCGGCCCTAGCAAACCGCGGAGGGAGCGTGTTCGGTGTGTCTGATGACTTGTTCGCACATGTATGAACAGAGCCCGCCCCAAGCACTGGTGGGGGCCCACGGGTAAACATTCCCGTGCCAGCCAGCAGCCATGGTCTAGCAGAGTTTGCGGTGTGTGTGTCTAATCATTCGCCGAGGGGCACAAGACATCAGGGAGTGGGCAGAGCAGTCACTGGTAAATGCGGTGGGAAAACCGTGGATGGGACACTGCTGGGAAGAGAAAGCAGTGAGAAACAGCTTCCCGTCAGAGGGAACGAGTCACTGCTTAGGGCTTGGTCAAAGCGTGTGTGCGCAAGAAGTTGTGAGTTCTGGAAGGATGTGTGGTTGGGAATGTGGTACATGTGCTTGCCCAGCTTGGGGCACAGGTGTGACCTGCTCATGGGCACAGAAGTCAGCAGAAGCCGGCTGAATGGGGCAGGCACCGTCGGCGGTTGGGAGCGAAGGAGAGAGGCCTGAGACAGACGGCAGGGCCTGCAGCCAGCTCTGACGGGCGAGTGCCGTGGTGTCTCAATCCAACGTTGAGCTGCTAAATTGAAGCTGTTTGCGGTGGGTGTGAGCATACTAAAGTGTTGAGGTCTGTGGGCTGAAACAATGAGGGTACGTAAAAGGCAAATGAAAGGGCTGGCTAGGATCTGACCTCGTTGGCAAAGACCCCAGTGAGATTTTAAGTCGCCAAGAGAGCGTGCCTCCCCCAACACAGAGAACAAGCAAAACAGAACCCTTAGCCGGCACATGCGTCGATGCAGGAGAGCTCTGCTCCTGCCCCAGGCCAAGCCGCATCACGTCCAGTCACCTCACCCTCCCGCCTCGCCCACGCAAGGGTAGGGAAAGGCGAGGCTCACCTGCTAGTCGTCGTCGTCGTCATCCTCTGGGACAAAAATGTCGTGCTCCTCAAGTAGAGCAGCAAAGTTCTTGCTAATGAGGGTCCCGACATAGAGAAAGGGGATCACGATGCAGAACACACGGAGAAGGCCGAAGGACATCTGCAGGGCAGAGGGCCGCGCTCAGCGCTCTGGCAGGACCACGGACGGCCCGGCCCGCTCAGCGCAGTCGGCGGCTCCTGGGGAGCCCTGACCCGGCATAAGCCGCCTTATTTATTCTTAAATTCTTGGGAAAATTCAAAGCCATTAAAATGGAGACTGGAAAGGAAAGCTTACAAGACACATTACCTAAAATCAGGGCACAACCTGGTAATGACTTGTAGATACCTGTAAATGGTGAGGAAGTACTAGGCGCTGGACTGTGGAGTATGAAGGGATAATCTATACAGTTCTTCAACAGGCTTCCTGGTGCCTGAGGAATTTGACTTTTACCACATTAAATAGTAGAACCATCTGTCTTGGAAAATGAGCGTGCCCGTGTGCAAAAAGACTGCCTAGATGGACTGGGGGAAGGCCGATAAAATCTCACCATTTGCTTGTAACAAAGTTGGGGTTTCAAAAAACTTTCCAGCTATGCCTTTCTCTTCCCCAACATGCACTCTGCTTTTTTTCTGTACTCATTTGCCAATGGGAGCTAACAGGCCAGATTAGCTTTAAAAGAATACTGTTTTGTCTTTTAACTCACATAGCCCTGGAGCCGAAAAGAAACTTATTGGGAATGAGGCATTGTTTCCATTTTACTTTCAGAAATCCCGGAGACGACGGCATGTGATGATAATCGGTGTAGGGAAAGGTGGGACGGAATCTGGTGGGGGTTGCACCAGCAAGAAACTTGAATTCCAGAACGAATTCGGCTGTTAGCTTTCGACAATGGCCTAACATTTGTAAGAACAGCAATTGTAGTAAATCCCTACACATCTCTCAGGACGGCAAATATTTATCGTGAATTAAATACTAGAGCAAAACGTGGAAAGCGGAAGGTCTGCCCCACATAGCCTCCATTTACAAAGGCTTTCATCCCGTCCACTCTGTGATCCAGAGCAAAGTCTGGTCTCACGCTGGAGGCTGCGGTCATCAAGGGCACCACGCTCCTCGACATAAACTAGAGCACAACACCGTCTTTCTCGGCCCTTGCTCCCGGTTCTGTCTCCAGGCCCCCAGCTCAGCCCTCAGATCCAACCCGACCCTTCCCTTCCACCTGTCAAAGTCAGTAGCTCATCAGCGCAAAACTTTGTCCTTAATCGGACTTCCGGTCTAAGGCAGCTGACGATTGGCCTTTGCTCCTATCAATCAGCACGACCGCCACCAGTGATTGGCCGCAGCCCCTTAGCCCCACCTCCAGGCCGACACTCACTTTCACCGGCTTGGGCAAAATGGCGCCGCTGCGAGTAACGATGACCGATCTCGACGGTACCAGGCTCCGACCTGAGCCACCCTGTCCGGCGGAGGCATCGCCAGCTAGCCTCAAGGTCGGCCCGTTCCGGAGAGTCCGGGATCGGGCGGGGACCAAGGCCAGCCAGCGAGCCGCTCTGAACGCCATCTCCCAGCTCCGCCCCCAGCCCAGCGCCCAGACCGCACCGCCCCGCCTAGGTGACGCCCTCGGCAGAACGCCGGCCCTAGCCTCGCGAGACTTCCGGGATCAGACGAGAGTTCCAGCCCTCGCGCTTGCGCAGTGAGCCTACTTCCCGTGGCGGTGAGGCAAGGCCTCCGTCACAGACGCGGCGCGGTGACGTCACAGGGACGCCGCTGGCGGCGCAGTCCGCCTCGGAGTGTGGCGCGAGGCCGCGACTCCTGCTTTGGTTCCGCCCTGGCGCGGCCTGCGTCTGCGGAGCGGGTGATTGGTGGAAGGAGGGCTGGCTTGACTTGTCCCTCAAACGCTCGAAGGCCGCGGCTGCACCTCTAGAATGACTCGGAGCTTATTTCGGGCCAAGGTATCTGACATGCCAGGTGGACACACACCTCGTCGCCCAAACCCCCCTTGCACGTGGTGGCGGAGTAAATGGTGCGACCCAGACGAGTAAAAAACCGTTTTAATGGTATAAAAAGTGCGTAACAACAAGACGGGTGACTCGCGTGTGCGGAAGGCAGGTGCCGCGGGCTGTCGCGCGCTCTTCCCGGGCCCTGGCCGTGGGCGGCGGAAGATGCTCAGGCCGCAGCCCCCGGACCTCGCTGCCCAGACAGTCCGGGCCCGGCAGGGAGGAGGCTGAGAAGGGACAAGCTGTGGCGTCACCTGCCAGCCACCTCGGAGGCTTAGGCCAGCCTGCCCACGCCCGCTGGCCACTGGCCTCTGTGCAAAGAGGAGGAAGACACCTGGTGAGAGGAGCAGTGAGAGGGGCTTGGCAGACACCCCCCGGGTGACAAGCAGACCGAAGGGGCGCAGGGGTCCAGGACCAGGAGCACCTCTGAGGAGCCTGAGGAGAGCTGTCGCAGGGCTCTGGGAATTCTGCGGCAGGTTCCTGGACCGCCCAGGGCTGGGAGCACAGGGCACCGCCTGGCCTTCCCGTGGAGCCACACTGCCTCCCTGCTGCTCCTGCCTCCCGTGGCAGCTGGAGAGCTGGTGCTGAGGATGGCACGGGAGGGGCTTCTGCTGGCACACAAAAGCCCCCAGAGAGCAGCACCACCTGCTGGCTGGGCAGCCGTGGGGGCGCGGAGGGTCAGTACTTTCTGAGCAAAACAAATTCCGTTTTGTTGGCCAGTCACCCCTCCTCCCAGGGGCCCTCCAAACTGTGGCATGGGGGCCCCAACCAGCCTTCCTGCGGCTCAGGAAAAACGGGCCCAGAAGCCGCCGCGGCAGTCTACTCCCTCTGGCAATGCCTGCTGCGTCTGTGAGGTCAGCACCAGCCAACTCTAGCGCTCGCTGCGCGCACGACTCCCCGCGCACGACTCCCCGTGTTGGAGAATGAGCCGCAAGTGGGTGGCTGGGCTGGCTCCAGGGCACTAACGTCAGGGGGCAGCTGAGCCCTGTCAGAGGACTGGGCCTCCCCGCCGCGCTCAGCAAGCTCCGGAAGGAAGGAGCTTGGGCGGGAAGAATCCCGTCTCCTCCAGGCCAGAGCGTGGTGGGGGACCTGGAGGAAACCTGAAAAGCGCAGAGGAGAGAACCCTCCCCCAAGAGGCAACCTTAGAAACGAGTCAACATGAAAGTGAAAGAACACGGGCACTGGGGTCCTGACCAGCAGGACTAAACCCGAGAGGCCCAGCTCAGGGCCTGGCCTGTTCCTCGCAGGCCGGCCGCCTCCCCCAGGCCCTCTGCAGCCACTCGCGCCTGAGCACCGCGATCTCCTGGCCGTACCACTCGTGCAGGGTAGAGAAGCACGAGCTCTCAGGGGACACGGGGCTCTGCCCCCTGCCCAGGGGAAGGCTGGCAGGGCCCTGCCGCCCCCACTCAGCCGAGCCCCGCCCGGCCGGCCTGCCGCCCCCTTCTTCGAGCAAGCCCACAGGGCTGCAGTCCCTGGGGAGGGAGTGGCCATTCTCCAGGCCCAGGGGCCAGTGGTCAGGAGCCTGGGGCTTGCAGCGGCTGCTGATGGCCTTCCTGGATGAGCGCCGATGGCAGGCCAGGCGGTGGTGGGCGTCCCGCAGCTGGCTCTCCAGCTCGGACACCACCAGGCGCATGTAGCCAAAGCTGGCCCTGGACAGAGCCTTCACCCAGGCCTCCTGGGCCACCGGCCCATCTGCCGCAAGCAGTTGGGGGCGCACCCCAGGGGCATCGAAGCGGATAGCAAAGGCAAACTCCTCGGGCACAGGCGCTTCAGCCAGCTCCACCGTGCAGCCCTCCAGGACCACCAGGCTGAGCGGGGCCCGGCCCTCTGGACTCTCGAAGGAGAACAGCAGGTTGCCTTTGAGGACAAACCAGCACCTCCGTCCAGTGCCGCTGGTGGATGACGTCCCAGGGCCCCGCCAAGTGCGCAGGAAGCCCTTCTGGTCTGCTGGGGAGCCGCTCAGGGCGTAGTGGGCCACGCTCCGCTCGTTCAGCTTCATGGCTCCGGAGAGACCTGTGAGGAGAGGCAGAGAGGCAGGGTCAGAGAGGGCGGCGCACGGAGGGCAGCCTGCTGTGCCAAGGCTCCTGAGCGTCTTCCCCGGGGAGCTGGTCTCCCCTGCCTGTGCCCTTAAGGGTGCTCATGAGGTCACTGCAAGGAGGGTGTGAGGCTCCCAAGGCCCGTCTGTCTCTGTCACACCAGATAAGCGCTCCTGTTTCCTCTTCTCCCCTCTGGGCTTAACAACCGATTTCTTCCATTCCCAGGGGAAAGCGCCTCAGCAGGAAAGGTCACATCTGAAGGGCTGACCACCTCGCGACCGCGGAAGCAAGGTGTGTTGCAAGGACGGACCTGCCGGCCCTCGCCCGCTGCCCCTCCTGCTCCCGCCCTCAGCCAGAGCAGGACGCAGCCTTCGACAGGTTAAACTACTTTCCTTCTCAAACTCGGATTCCTTTTACTGACCAAGGGCCTGCTGGCAGTGTGAGGAATCAGACCAGGGGCTGAGGGGGCCTTCACCCGCCTCTCAAACCCCCAGGAAAAGGCCCCAACTGCGCTGAAACAGGTTTTTTTTTTTAAAAGATTTATTTATTTATGCATACAGAACTGGGGAACATGTGCTGTGAGAGGATTCACCTGAGACACAGTGGGGAGCAGAACAGGCAGATGGACGAAATACACTGCTGAGGGGAGCAGCAGGTGGGTCAGGAGAGGGCTGCCATGTGGGTCACCTGCAGTCACTCATGCAGAAGTGGCTTTAGCTTCTCAGTGCTGTGCTTTAACCCGCTGCGCCATCAGGGAGGGCCTAACCCCAGGTTTTAAACTTCGCTTCACAGGACCCTTAGCTCCAGCCCTGAGGTTATCCTCGCAGGGCTCCCCGGCGCCCCCCCTTTATTAATAGCAGTTGGTCTTTGATAAAATTGCATTCCTCAGGCTTGGGGGCAGGAGGGCAGAGCGCTGCCTCCCTCCTGCAGGGGGGCGCTGCTGGGGGCGCTCGGTAACCAAGTGAGGTCTGGCACAGGCATGGCTGGGCCCGACGACCTCAGCCACTGCATGTGGGCACCGAAGCCTACCGTCTCCTGACGCAGGGAAAACAGGCCCAGGTCAGTGAAGGTGAATTGTTCAGGTCAAGTGGGAAGCAAATTTTGGCCTCCCGACTCCCTCACGCCTTCTGGGGGCAAGTTTTGGCAGTGGCCCGCTTACCAGCAGAGCTCCTTGGGCGGGGCAGGCCCCGTGCCTGGAAACACTGCTCAGTCCTGTGACCGCGCGCCCGCTGGGGACCTGCAAAACAATCTCACAGCCAGTCAGCCCAACCTAAGGGATGAGAACTCCCACCCAGCCTTTGGCCCACGGAGACTCCTCCTCCAGGGAGCCTTCCGGACCTCTGAATCATCCGTCCTCTCGGGCACGGGCTGCGTCCCACTCTAGACTAGAGCCGCATCTCCCTGCCCTGTGAGGCAAGGTCAGCGCCGAGTCCCTAGCACACCCCAGAGGCCCCTCACTGGAAATGAGGTGCCTGTTAATGGCGAGGTGGCCCGGGCCGAGGTCACACAGCCAGCAGCCCCTCACTTCCGTTGCCTTCTCCCACGGCCATCTCCTTTGTGTTTCCAGTGCTGTCCCCAACCCCACAAGGTCAGGGGTGGGTTGGGGTGTAAACCCCCCATCCCCCCAGTATCCACTGGAGTGCAGGGCTCCGGAAGGCCCTCAGGAAATATTTGTTAACAATTACCTGGGTGCACAACACTGGAGAAAACAAAGACCCCCCCTCCTGAACCTACATTGGGGGGAGTGGCTCTAAACACCCCAAATTAAATAACAAACTGATTTAGAAATAAATTAATCATGAGTAACACAAAGGCTTAGGGCACAGCAGGGAGCAGGGTGGAGATCACCCCTCCCCTGGGGTCCAGCAACAGGTGGGCAGCAGGAGGATCTGGAACCCCCAGAGCTGTCCGGGTCCCCCTCCACCAGCCAGGAAGGGCGCCCCCTCTGCAGGGGTTCAGGCAAACAGCACAGCCAGGGGAGACCCGGGCACCCTGTCATTGGGGATCTGTTGGCAGACCGGGCTGGGGAGGGACCACCACGGGCCGGCCGGGAGCCGCTCCCCTGGCTCTCCCTGGCGAGCTCTGGGGACGCGGGTGCCGCTGCCCCCTCGGCCTCCGCTTGCCGTCAGACTGTCCTGCCACGTCCCCGTGGCCGCGCCTTCCCGGGCCGCAGCTTCCCGGCTGCCTCCCGCGCTCACCAGTCCCGCCGCCGCCTCCGCCGCCCCCCACCGCTGCCGAGTCCGGCCAGGCAGGGATCCCGCGCCGCTGCCGGCTGCAGACGTGGCTGCGGGACACCCCGCCCCTGCGGCGGCTCCAGTTCCCGCCCAGCCCCTCTCCTCCAGGCTCACCGGCCTGGCTGCCCAGCTGCCCCTTGCTCCACGGGAGGGAAACTGAGGCCACAGAGGCCAGAACTGACCTGAGCCCAGAGCCGTTGGGGTGGGCGGCCTCGAGTCTGGGCCCCGCCTCTGAGCGGAGCCCTCTGCGCCCCCCTCAGTCCCCCTTTCTCCGTCTGCCCGGCCCACTTCTCCCACTGGGCCGGCCAGTGCCTCCTCTGGGCGGAGTCCCAGCTTCCAGCCTCTGCATCAGGTCCCTGGGGTCACCCCAATTCCTGCGCTGGGAGTGCTCATTTCTGCTCCCACCCCTCCCAGCGGCCCCAGGCCACTCTGCCGGAGGCCAGGCCTGCAGTGGAGGTGGCTGCACGCACAGCCCAGGCCTGATGCCGCTGGCTCCCGCCCAGAGCTCTGGCTGGTCCCTGCAGCTCCTGACACCCACTGGGTCCCCTCGCAGACCCGCGCTTCGCCATGGACCTAAGGGACCTGCCTGCGGGCTTCCCTCAGCCCAGGCCTGGTGTCCTCACAGCGGCACTGACCACTACAGAAACAGCCTCCCCTCCGCTTGTCTCTCCTGTCCATCATATGCCCCTACACACACTCAGTTGCATCCAGTTAAAATAGGAAACCTGGGCTCTCCCTGGCGCAGCGGGTTACAGCACCGCACCAAGAAGCTAAGCCGCTTCCGCATGAGTTCGATCCCCGCCTGCCCCGTGGAGAGCCCCAGCCGCGGCAGACCTCTCCTGACCGCCTGCTGCACCCCCCAGCAGTGTACCCTCGATCTGCCTGTTCTGCTCCCCGCTCTCAGGTGAATCCTCTCACCGCCCCTGCACCTCTGGCCTGTACCGCAGTTATGTATGTACAAATAAATCTTAAAAAAAAAAAGTAGGAAACCTGATAACACACCAGAAGGTAATAGTGTTGTGGAAAATGTAGAGCAGGTTGAGAATTGAGGGGTGGTCGTACTTTTACACAGAATGGCCAGAGGTGACATCTGAGAAATGAGGAGGAGCCAGTCATGCCCACAGCTGCAGGAAGAGCATTCCAGGCCAGCGGCCAGCCAGGGCCCCAGGCTGGGGCCTGAGGGGCGCGCCCAGGGGGAGCGGCGCTGGGTGAGTGGGAGGAGGCCAGGTGCAGGGGGCCCCGGGGCAGAGAGCACCTGCTCGCTGAGCCTGCCTGAGCCTGCGTGTGGGAAGAGCAAAGGGAGGCGAGGGGATGCCGGGGTTTGCGCCTGGAAGGAGAGCGGCCGGCCGGAGACACCGGGCAGGTGCCCCGAGACACCGGGCAGGTGCCCGGACGAGGCCCAGCGGCCTCCAAGGGGCAGGGGGTGAGCACCTGGCACCTAGTAGTTGCTCAATGGACACTTGATGAGCGAGGGGAGAAAAACGAGAGGGCGCGGGTCAGGGGGGGCCCGCAGGCTCGGCGGGAGCCCCCAGCCTCCGGCTTCCTCCCCCGCGGCAGTCCTGCGGCGGCCACTTTCCGGGACGCCCCCTCATTGGCGTTTACACTGGCCTCGGCGGGAGTTCGCGCCACGGCTACTTCGTGAGCGTCCGGTGTGGGGGCCCTGCCCGCCGCCGCGGGGCCGCGGGAGGTG